ACACATGCTGTTTTGTGGATTTTCTCTTTATCTACAAATATGTCAAAAGAATCTTTTCCCGGCCAGATTTTTCAAACTCATCATTTCAACAAATGAATAACATTTTATTGCATGGATCAATAATAATTTCTTTTCATCAATTTTATTTTACTGACTTTTATAGGCTAGATTTTATTTACTCTAAAATAGTTATATGACAAACACCGACATAAAGATTGATGAATTTTTAAGAATCCTTAAAATTCCTATTTTAATTAAATTCTGGGCCGATCACAGCCTACTCTTGAGTTCAATTCCAGGATAATTTAAATAAGCAAGCAAAACTATTCTTCAGCACTCTTAGCTAGCTTGCACCAATAAATCCCATTTCTTTATACTTGGTCCATTATTTCTAATTTAAGTTTAAGTGTGGCTCAAATGCATGGACTACATATAAATTTTTTACATCACTATTACTAACAATAACAACAATTAGTTGAACTTTTTCTGTCAACTCCCTCCCCATTTAGAAATTAGTAAGAAAAAAGTTTTCAATTCTAACTATCTTTATCAATAGATGTACCAACAATTTCGTAAATTTTTTCAAAAAGGAAAAAAGCAACTCTACATAAATTAAACATGCAAATTAAAAAAAAATTGGAAGTGCAAAGGTATTTCTTAGAATTAGGAATATGAGTAGTTACCTTTCCTTTCATTTCCTTTAAACTCTACCTTTGACCAAGCCTATTTATCCCAAAAAAACAAAGCAATATTCTCTTAAGGTGAATTAGAGATGACTAATTTTTTTTAAAGATTTAACTATTATTTATGCATAGAAGAACTGGGGTACAGGCCAGGACCCACCAAAGACAAGAGTAGGAGCAGAACAGGCAGATGAAATACACTGCTGAGGGAAGCAGTGGGCAGATCAGGAGAAGTCTGCCACGCCGTTTGGGTCACTAGCCTATTTCTTTGCTACTCTTTTTCCCATTTCCTTTTTACTCTTTCCATGAATCTGGGCCAGTTTTACAACAAACTAGAGCCAACGGAATGTGACAGATGTGATACTGGTATGCTTTAAGACAGGATCTTAAGAAATCAGCTGTTTCTGCTTTGTACTACTTAGAACATTCCCATTTATAAGGTAGCCATCAAAAAAAGAAATTCAGGTATCGGGGACCACATGCTGTGAAGAATCCTTAACAATCCATATAGAGAAAGTAGCCTCCTGACAAAGCACTGGGGTGCATGCTATGTGAGAAATACCTTCCTGGACATTTTACCCATATTAAGATCTCAGATGATGGCACCTGAAGCAAAAAAACTTTTGTCCAAATCCCACCCTATAGAACTGTAAGAAAACAAACTAGTAGTTGTTTCAAGTCACTAAGTTTTAGAGTGGGCCATTCCACAGCAACAGATATTAAAAATACACCCAAATATTTTTAAGCGCACACAAGTTCTAGCTGGGAAGGATGTAGTGATATTTGTGCTCATCATAACTTAGGATGGGAAAGGATATATAAATCTGAGTAAAAAAAAGTTCTATGATGGGTAAGAAAAAACAAGTACAAAGTTTTAGAAAAGCCTAATAAACACGATCCTCTTTGGTTAAAGATTTTATTTATTCCATTTTTGCACAGAAGAACTGGGGTGCAGGCCAGAGGTGTGGGGACTGTGGGGGGTGGTAAGAGGAATGATTCACCAGGAACAGAGTAGGAAGCAGCAGGCAATACAGCAGAGAAGTCTACTGTGCCATGTGGATTAGCTCCCTTGCAGTAATGGTAGTTAAGCGTTGGAGGCCAACATGCTCCACTTTAGAAAAACACTTAATATATGAGTGAGCTAAGTGTACACTGTTCCCCAAAAGAGAAATCTAGCCAATTACAGCAAAAAGGTATAAAGTATAAATTAAAACTATTTATTCTATAGACAACTTATAGCAATACTACATTTGTTAGGAAAAGCAAAGTCAACAGCAGTTATATTAACACTATGCTAAAAAGACTGTTCTGTCTATGCTCATTGTATAAACAAAGCCAGATTTCCTACAAAGAACCATGAAAAAAACAAATTAAGAAAGAATAAATCACATTCTTGTTTACAAAAGGCAAAGCACAATGGGATAAAAACACTGATAAGTCATTTTCTTTTAAAGATAGACTCAATGACTGAAATATATAGAAATTATAGAAACAAAAATTGTTCTAAGGAATATTAGATCCTGCCAAAAACATATATGCATTTTAAATAATTTTGCCTCCTTTACCTGGCATTCCTACTAGTTTTCTGAAGCTGAACTCATCATTTCATAAATAACTACTTTCTAGATATTTCTTATTAAAAAACATAAAATAGGATGTATAACTGATGCTATGTATTCAGAATGGCATTAGTATGTAGAAAACAATTTAATATCAAAGTTACCAAGATTCAAAGTCTTCTGAGAAAAAGACAAAGAATTTTAAAACAGTATGAAAACCTCTTTCCCTCTAAATCTAATAGTAAATCTAATAATAAATAGTAAATTAGTAAATCTTTCTCTTGAGACTGTCTTTCTTCCAATGCTATCACAGAGAATAAAGTTATGGTGGCAAGCTT